TTCTATGTTTGATAATTAAAGATGAAATATAATTGGATTCTGACACTATGCTCAGATACAAAACAGATATTGTGTTCTCACAAAGAAAACAATTGTATGAGTGCTTCACTTGTGACTGACATGATAAAACAGTGACTTCCCACCATTCACCAAATCATAGTTACTGCCCCCCTCCATTCCATTTCAAGGCTACCCCAGCTTTTGTGTGAATTCTGCTATTAGAAATTCAAGCTAAATCAAGGCAAAAGCAAGGGGGGGAGGACCTTGATGCCCAAATTTGATGTACCCCAACCTTCTTGCCAATGTTCCTAATCTTCATGTAAGTGCTAATCTATGATGAAAAGACAAGACAAGCTATCTGGGCCAATACTGTCACCCAATCCCCCAACTAACGATGATGATGGTTTAATAAACTTGTGGAATACTGTCATTTGGCTGCAAGGTTACCTTTTGTATTAAGTCTGCTTGGGTGCACATTCTTTCCAAACAGTTTTCTTTTGCTACTGGAAACCCTCGACTTACAACAGTTCATTTAGTGAATGTTCAAAGTTACAACAGCATTTTTCACACTTATGACCGGTGCAGCTTCTCCACAGTCATGCAATTTACCTGCCAATGCTTGACAACTGGTTCCTATTTATGCTGGCTACAGTGTCCCGGGGTCACATGATCATCTTTCGTGACCTTCTGATAAGCCAAGTCAATGGGGGAAGCCAGATTCACTTAACAACGGTGTTACCAACTTAACTAATTTTACCAGTTTAACAACTGCAGTGATCCACTAACAAATGTGGGAAGAAAAGTCATAACATGGGCCAAAATTCACTTAACAAATTTCTCACTTGTGCAACATAAATTTTGGGCTCAGCTGTGGACATTAAGTCGAGGACTACCTGTATTACAGAGAAGACTGTCTTTGGGTGAGGCCACAAAGGGCTTGGTCTGAATGGAGAGAACTTCTTCTGCCCAGGACAAATTGAGAGGGCAGATTTCACCCAAACCGACCTCCTCCACCCCCTCCCTCCCTCCCTCCCTCTCTCCCTGAGCCCCCTTTTTTGTAGTAGTTGAGGGTGGGGATGCCAAGAGCAAAAAGGGGAGGTGACCAAGAAAAATAGGACTGTCTGCATGAGCCCCTTCCTCCACGGATGCCCGGGGAAGGCAAGGCAGGTTCCCCATCAACAGAACCAGAACTGTGGCTGTTTGGGGTCCAAACCTCTCGAAGGACCCCGGCCTCCTCCTCTTGCTGCCACTTCCTCACCCCTAGAAATGTAAAGGTCTGGGAAAAAACTAGAAAAATTGGGGGGGGGGAGAGTATTTCCCCCCCCCATTTTTAAAAATAGGGTTTTGGGGAAAAAGGGGGAGAGAACTGTTTTTTCCTCATTTTTCCAGGTTCCCCCCCCATCCCTACTCATCCCCAAAATTGATGTGCCAATGGCCAGGAGGACGGAGCCTGTGATCCAAAGACTTGGACGGGTGTGTCTCCCCTTCGGGGTGGAGGCCTTCCCATGCTCTTCCCAAGGGTCAGCACCGCTGGGAAACCCGCCCCCCTGAGGATGGAAGGAAGGCCTGGAACAGCTGGGCTCCTCTCACCGGCCGACTGCAAGCAAACTCCCTGCTTCTCATCACGAGGCTGATGAAACAGCGGCTTCCTCAAAGTGACTTTCACCTGCAGAACAGGCCACCAAGACACTGGAATGAGTGATGGGGATGTTTGAGCAGCACCAGAAGAATAGGTGGAAGGAAGCTCTAGCTCCGCCTCTTGTTTTCCTGTTGGGTCCCAACCCTAAAAGTGCAGCTGCTTCTAGAGTGGAGGTGGGGAACTATGGCTCCCCTTATGACTTGTGGACTTCAACTCCCAGAATTCCTGAGCCAGTCTGGTACCATAGTTGGATACCCTCCCCCCAGTTGTACAGACTTCAGCTTCCCTAATTCTCCACAATTAGCATCCTGACTGGGAAATTCTAGGAATTAAAGTCCAGGTGGCTGGAGAGGATGAAATTTAAAGGTTAAGGGTAATTTTAAACAAATCAAATTCAAACAAATTACAGCTATGGAGAACGTCCATCCAGTGCTGTGCATAGCCAGCTTTCCTGATCTCCTTTTCCAAAACTACATCCTAGAATGGAAAAGATGGAGTGTTTTCAAACTAGTCTCACAACCCTGAAAATTGTTAGACTTAAGTTAGTATCATTTGCCCCCACTATTCATAATATGGAAACAGTTGTTTCTCCACACCAGCTAAACAAATGGGCCAACTGAGTGTGTGGTTGTTTTATATGGTCTAACTCCCTGGCTTTTTTAGGTTTAAAAATATTTCCAGTTCTGTCCTAAAGCTGAAGTGAATTCTGCACCAACATCTCACATAGACTGCATTAATGACATATTAGGGTTTTTTGCTTTCCGGAAGGGTCTGTTTTATTGAGATACATATCCAGTCTTGTTATCAGTGTTCTTTCGTGCTTCAGGCTCAGTGGTGGGATTCAGCCAGTTTGCACCATTTCAGCAGAACCGGTAGCTAAGTTTTTGTTGCCCAGGCCCAGAATGGACTTCTGGAAGCAGCATCCACACAGAACTGGTTGTTCACATATTTGAATCCCACCACTGTTCAGGCTGCATGATATAGAGCCAAGTTATATAAGGATGTGAAGGGTTCTGGAACAAAGGATGATTGTGTAGTCTACCTGTTGGTTTCTTGTTTATTTTAATTAGCTTTTGCACCAGAGAAATTTCATGCAAGCTTGGGAAATGTGTACATGGATGGGATATACTGAAGGAGGGAATAAGGGACTGCACATGAATGATTGATGTCTTTCTTGTGATATAATGACTCTGTTGTCTGATTTTCATTGGCTAATAAAGTGGATAAAGCAATTCTACCAACTTTCTAAGACGTGGCACATTTGGACGTGACTCTGCCAGCCTTCCAGATTGTTGGCCACCCAGCTGATTCATTTGATCAAATAAAGTGCTGCTTAATCAAGAAGTCTCGTCTTGGGTTATTTAATTAGATTAATATGGTATCTCAAGTATAAATAAAGGACTGGGACCTTACAGCACCATGCATGTATTTAATTTGTATGGTGCCATCACAGCACATATGCCTCTGATTCCCTAGTAGATACTGCCTTTAAGAGTATATAGAAAATACACAACAGCAGACATAGCACCCAAACATTTTTCCCCGCTAGAAAAATATATTTGCTGGGGTCTTCAAACTTGGCACTTTTATGACTTGTGGACTTCAACTCCCAGAATTCCTGAGCCAGGCACATTTGAGTTTTGAGTGATATTTTCACTCAACTGTTTAAACCATGAGTCTCCTCTTCACAAAACAGAGATGTTGGCTTAGCCTGTGCAACAGTTAGTGTGCAAAGAAACATACAGTAATCTAACACAATGTATGAGTCTGTATGATATCTGATGCTCTTTTCAAGATCAGATCTTTATGTGTTCACTGGCTGTCTATGATAAGAGGAGGCAACATATGAGGTTATTCAAATATGTTGAAATCAAGACTATCTACACAGGTAAATTTTTCACGTAGTACTTGCTTAGCCCAGAACATGGGATTAGCAACTAAGAAATGAGCAGGTGTGAAATAGCTGATTCTGGTGTAATAATTTCTGTTATCACCCATACAAGCAACTATAAAGTTTCCCATGTAAATATAAGCTATTTCACGTAAAGAATGGAAAGGCTTCTATCTTGTTAATAGGGGTCCAGTGAGAAAGCACCATATATACCACAGTAATGACATCTATCCCATTCTTTGAGAACATTACCATAGATAAAGCAAGTGGTAGAACACATTCATGAATCATTAACTGAGTTAGCAGGATAAACACAGGCATGGGTACTATGCATTTTATTAGAATGGGTAATATCCAAGGTTTTGTACTATGAAATGATTCAGATGCTCAGGCAGACAAGAGCCATTTCAGACAATCCTTCAGATGCATACATAGAAAGGACTCAGCAGTGCAACATCCTGAGTAGGGGGAGCTACTGGCAGACAAAAGACCATCAGATTTTGCCTGGAAAACAGCCATTTCCCTGAAGTTCATCCCAGTTGTCAACCTGCAAAAGAACCGGACATTCCTTTGATCACTGTTTCTCAGTAAGAGAGATGCCGTTAGAACTGTAACTCTTCCATACAATTATGCTTCTCAATTATGTCCTGAAAGAGAGGGACAAGAAATATTTTGAATACAGTTCTGAATGGAGGTTTTTGACGGTGTGGAGTTGGTAATCAATTGTTTCCAGATGGACTGAAACTGCAACACCCATGATTAATATGCCAGGGATTCTAGTGCTTTACTCCAAAGTATTTTGGTCTGATCCTTCATGGCTGACCCACTGAAAAGGGAGAGATCTTTTACTGATTGTCTTCCTTTGCTTCCAACTGGTTTCTTGTACAAAAATGTTTTAGCCAGACTTACGGAATTTACTTACCCAAAAAGAAGGGCACAGGGATGAGTATACTTATTTATACCACTGACAGACACAGCGATGGAAATCTACCAGGAAAAAAAAATTAAAATGCATCTAATCTAGGATTCAGAAGAGCTCTTAAAACAGAACTGTGTATAAGCCTGAAGAATCTACAAGACTGTGTATTGTCCAACACCTGGGTCTCCAAAATAAAAAAACAAAGTATCCACCATTTTGTCCTAAAACACATCCAAATACAGTGATTCAGCCAGTTTGCACCAATTTGGCAGAAATGGTAGCTAGGTTTTTGTTGCCCAGGCCCAGAATGGACTTCCGGAAGCGGCATCCACACAGAAAACTGGTTGTTCACATATTTGAATCCCAGCACTGTTCAGGCTGCATGATATAGAGCCAGGTTACATAAGGATGTGAAGGATTCTGGAACAAAGGGAAATTGTTTAGTCTAACTGTTGCTTTCTTGCTTTTTGGAATCGGCTTTTGCACCATAGAAATTTCATGCAAGCTTGGGTAACATGTACATGGATGGGATATACATGTATATGGATGAAGGGAATAAGGGAGCGTCTTTCTTATGATGTCTTTCTTATGATGTAATGGCTCTGTTGTCTGATTTTTATTGGCTAACGAAGTGTATAAAGCAATGCTACCAACTTTCTGAGACGTGACACTTCTGGACGTGACTCTGCCAGTGTTCCAGATTGTTGGCCACCCAGCTGCTTAATTTGATCAAATAAAGTGCTGCTTAATCAAGAAGTCGCTGCTTGGGTTATCTGATTAGATTGATATGGTATCTCAAGTTTAAGTAAGGGACTGGGATCTTACCGGTGAGAAAGTGGTATTTTTTCCCCATCTGTCTTTCTGCTTCGGAGTGGAAGAGAACAAAGTGCATTCTTGCGAAAAATTTTCCCCATTTCTAAATTCCAGGCAAACATCTTGCCGTGCAGATTTGAAGCTATGGTGCTGATCAGAGTGCTAGCAAACCTTCTGATACTACAGCTTTCTTACGGTAAGAGTCTGGACAATGGAGCAAAGGGTGGACGGAGCTTTAGGTGTCTTTTTCGGTTTAAATCTCCAGTTACAGGAGTAAACTTGCATGTAATTATTTACTGTAGATGTATAAGCAGGTCACAAGTAGAGAGTGGGCGAAGAATGCACAGTTGGTGTAAATGGGGAAGACCATTGCTCTATTTGCAATGATAGTATGAATTGATACATTTATTCATATCAGCAAAACTAGCCAGTTAAAACTATATAATCCCAAATATGGTCAGCTTCCTTTCGTGTTTCTATTTATTTGGCAACTGACTTCAATAGAGGAAGATAACTTATTAATTAATAAAAGATGCATTGAGAAAAAAAGTTGGGAAAGGTTTTTCAGTGTTAAGGTGGTCTTTAAAAAATGGTGTACGAGATGGCCATTGATTTTTGTCCAAACTGATAAAATATATCTGTTGGATTTAATCTAGCTCCCATTCTGTTAGATTTGCTACATGATACAGTATGCAATACCTTGGTCATTGCTTCTGAAACAAATATCAAAACCAATATGCAGGGATTTTACTGCCATCAATGTTGGCTCAAACTGTTTTTAGTGAACCAAATACTAATGTTACCAACTTCCCATAGAGTAAATTCCATTTTCATTAATCTCTTCCCCTCTTTCACTCCTTCTGCCCCCTATTCTCCCCATCATGAGGCCATATATTTGGCTTAGCAATGCAATACAGCAAGATCAGACTCTGGACCAAATGCTTCTAAATGTGCATCCTTTTTAGAAGCTCATCTGAACACACTGGCACATGTTAAAAATGAAATTCTGATGCCCTTTCTCAAGTTTGTGTGTGTGCATGGCTTTTTTTGTCATAGAATGCCCAGAACAGAGTTCTGGCACCTTTTTTGGATGGAACCTTGTAGGATAGGCAAGGCGGATTGTATGACATGTGTGAGTTCTGGCATCTTTTATTTTTACAAAGAAGCACACACACACACACACACACACACACATATTAATCACTTAAGATTCACAGGTAGTTTACCTACCTGGGGATAAGCATATATATGATTTGCAAATAATCCATTTTATTCTACTGGTTTGATGCTGTGTGTCCCACAGTCATCTGTTACCCTCCAAAATTAGTGTACTGATAGAAACACTACCAATAAAAGCGATTCTGTTCTACTCCACAGCCAAACACTGAACGTTTTTGGTTTCTTTGCAGCACAAAAGTCTTCTGAACTGGTCATTGGAGGTGATGAATGTAACATAAATGAACATCGTTTCCTTGTAGCCTTGTATGACCCTGACGGGTTTCTCTGTGGTGGGACTTTGCTCAACGAGGAATGGGTGCTGACCGCTGCACACTGTGACAAGTGAGGGCATTACAGAATGTGGAAGGGTTGAGGGAGATCGTGTTTAGATATCCAGATTTTTTAATAATGTTTCTGCTAGTTTTTAGTGACTTCTCTGTGCATTTTGAATGAATGTTATGCTGTTACTGTTATTGCTCCTCACAATCATATCTTGAACAATGCTGTTTATATTTATGGTTGAATTTCCATCTTCTTACCCACAGTATTCATGTTTTTCCTTTTTTCTGGGATATAATAATAACAAGAATAACAAAATCTAGAACATTACCTGAATACCATCAACATTGACAAAATCACCACAGTCAATTGCAAAAGCAGCCTTACTTGGAACATCCTGTGACAATCCCTTTAATACCATAGAACCACAAAATTTACCTACCCCAGGTCCTTGGGAAGTACTTTATAGGTGGATAAAAATGCCAAATCCAGTCTAAATATCTGACTGACTGCGCAACTAACCAGAAAATATTAACCATATGGTGCCTGACTCTGGAGGTTTGCCGTAAGAAAATAAATTTTAAAAAAATCAGTAAAACATAAAAGATAAAAAGATGATGAAGTGAGAGGTTTCTCTCTCCCTTATCAAAGGCCTGGGTGAGGCATTACACCTTAATACCTCTTCTAAACAAGGGCAGAGTGGGCACCATCCAGATTTTGTGTTCGTCTTTATCTATCCCACCATCCTTTGAGATAGGCTGGATTGAGAGAGGATGTGTGCAATACAAAGTCATAACATTAGTACCGTAACCACATGGGTTCTATCTTTAACACAGTCATCTATAATTTATAAATGCAACGTTCACACACTACACATCCAAGTCAAGAAAGAGATGGTTTCATACTATATGCTGAGGTTTCTGAGTGCGAAACAGCACACAGATGAATTCACGCTTCAGGATTTTGTATAAACAATGGAAATAGCTTATTCAATCACCTTGAATGAATTTCTTGAGTGAACCCAGATCTCTAGGACATTTCCCCCCCCCCTCAAACACCATTGGAGAAGGTCGGTTATGGCCCTTTCTTGTTTGGCGCTAACAATCCTGGTTGAGGGCCAAAATGAGGTCAAGGACTATCCCAAGTAATATAGAGTTTATTTTAAGTCATTGTTATTAACTTGTTGTTTTTCTTGTAGGGAAAAAATGGAGATAAACCTTGGTGTGCATAGCCTAAATGTAGTAAATGAGGATGAGCAGACAAGAGTCCCAAAGGAGAAGTTCTTTTGTCTTAGTAGCAAAAACTATACCCGTTGGGACAAGGACATCATGTTGATCAGGCTGGACAGCCCTGTTAGCAACAATGAATGTATTGCGCCTTTCAGCTTGCCTTCCAGCCCTCCCAGTGTGGGCTCAGTTTGCCGTGTTATGGGATGGGGCAGAATCTCACCTAGTAAAGGTAGGGATCTCTATCTATACTCTCAGACCCAGCTTTTGATGTAACATCAACTAGGTCTAGGGTCCCACTATGTCACCCATGAATATTGGAATGTAGATGGACAATGGGATTCCCTAAGATTCCATTTCTTCATCCATTCCACACCCACAAGGTCCTTGGAATAAAAGAAATAAGTAAGGAACTGGCATGCTGTATACCTAAAAAAAACCTTATAGGATCAAGTTTATTTATAGCAGTGCTGTTGGGAATCAGAAAAGTCCCATTAGCATGGCAGTCTTGCCAGGCTTCATTACCTTTAATAATGGGGTATTTTGTGAATGGCCATGGCCATTTTGTAAATGCAGAAGTATCCCAGCGAGGATATTTTCACAGTATATTTACCACTTGCTCTCAAAATATCAAATATGAACTCAAAAACATGGTCTATCCTTGGATGGATATAAAATCTCTGTGGATGATTGCAGATGATTTCTTCCTTTTAAGTCCTGGTGGTGCAGTGGTTAGAATGCAGTATTGCATGTTATCTCTGCTCCCAGCCTGGAATTCGATCCTGACGGGGCTCAAGGTTGACTCAGCCTTCCATCCTTTTGAGGTTGATAAAAGGAGGACTCAGACTGTTGGGGGCAATATGCTGATATTGTAAATCACCCAGAGAGTGCAGTATATAGGTCTAAGTACTATTGCTAGTAAGGCCATAGAAGTGTTATGTGTGCTCTCAGCTTTGGCTTATGGTCATCCACACATTCAAGCCTGTCAAGGTAGGTAGATCTTGTAAGCCCACCTTGTTTTCTACCTAGGTTTCTACCAAATAGGTGTAGTTAGAGCAGACAAGTCACACAACAATTGTCAAGAGCTGTAATTAATGCTGTATAATTAATGACTCACATAAATAATTTTCAACTAACTACAGGATTTTTGGAATACATGGAGACCCAGTGAATTTAAAGTAACAGCAAAACTTTACTGCTTGCGATATAAATTTGCTCTTTCTCATACCCACACATGCACCCATCCATTTTTAGACACCTCATTCTCAATTAGGCTGCCAGGCACTAGCTAGAGGGACAGAAATTCCTAAGTTGTGGATCCAAAGATGACTCGAGGAGTGGGTGAGCTTTTGGACCCCTTTTTATCCTGAAAAGTTCTTGATTTGTTGATTAGCTGGGATTGGGGTTTATTCCACATTCTCAGGCTCAACTTTGTCTGATTCAGATGACATTTTTCTTTTGTTTCCTTACACTTATTTCCATCTCATCTGTCCTCCCCAAGGGATCTTTTGGACAAGATTCCTGGTTTTTTGTTCTTGTACACAATACAAACCTATGCGTCTCCTTCATCTTTAGATATGGAAGTTTCAGTATGCTGGCTGAGGAATTTTGCGAGTGGAAGTTCACAAGTCTTAAAGTTGCCAAGTTTGGAGACCCCCATTCTAGGTCATCTCCAGGGGATGCGAGATCAGTTCTGTGACTTTTGAACTAGCAAAAGCCCCACTTTTCCAACAAGGCAATCTTTACGTAGAGTGCCAGAGAAATCTGAGAAGCTTTCAAATGCCCATCAGCTGATAGAATACCTATTAATATCTTGACAATAAACATTTAAGTAAATCTGTTTTTCACAGGAGTCCCTTTGAATGGCTTTGAAAGACAATACTTCCTATTCCCAGGCAATGAGATCAGCTCCACTGATTGGAGACAATGGAAATTACAGCTCTAGGTGGTAAATTGTGAAAGGTAGAATTTTACCTATTTTTTATTTTTTTTCAGAGATTTATCCCGATGTCCCTCATTGTGCTAACATTAACATACTCGATTATGAGGTATGTCGAAAAGCTTACCCACAATTTGGGTTGCCAGTGACAAGCAGAACATTGTGTGCAGGTATCCTGGAAGGAGGCAAAGATACATGTGTGGTAAGATGATCCGTTTTAAGACAGACTCCTAAAGAAATGATGCCAAATTTCAAAGCTGTGACAGAGATCTAGCCTTGAAGGCATCTTGTAGAATCATACAAAGTTACAGCTTTTTCTAACTCAAGTGCCTTCTAGGTGTCTAGATTTCCAGACGTCCCAATACTGGTGATTCTGGAGGGGGGAACTTAAAGAGTTAAATTCTTCTAAAAGGATCCTGGATTGGGGAACATGGAAGTGAAACATTGGGGGCTATATGTAAATGGACGGTGGGAGCGAATTGTTTGCTCCACTTCCCATTCATAGATACGGTAGTAATGTTTCATGTTTGATTTTTCTCAACAATCTGACTCTGGGGGACCCCTCATCTGTAATGGACAACTCCAGGGCATTGTATCTTGGGGAGACGATCCTTGTGCCCAATCGCATAAGCCTGGTTTCTACACCAAGGTCTTTGATCATCTTGACTGGATCCAGAGCATTGTTGCAGGAAACACAGATGCAACTTGCCCCTTTGTAAACTTTTGAAAAGGGGGAGAAAATGTAACATATTAGTACATCTCTTCTATATCCTTAACCATATCCAACTACATTGGAATATATTCCCAGGCAGTAAGCTTTTTTTTAGACTCAAATAGGACTGCCTTTGGAGTAAGAAATGCTCAAAATAGTGCTGCAGTGATCATGTCCCATTTAATTTCAGAATAAAACAATCTCAGTAAAATGGAGGCCTGTTTTAGGGTGAGGTGCAAACTTTTCTGACTCTAAAATGGACCATTCCAAATATTTTTGAATATCGTTCAATTTCTGAATATCTTTCAATTTCTGTCCACTTCTGGGACAGTGGGGTCCTTGATGCTCTCTGAGCTTGTCTTCTTGCAGACATTTCATTACCCAGCTAGGTAACATCATCAGTGCTAGAATATTCTCTTCTATTGGTACTTCTGTGGCATTTACAATATGCTCATATGCAGTCATGCACTCACCTCACAAACATATCCATATACCCGGGTCCCACTGTTGCCTAAAAAGGATCCCAGATTAACGACCACTTCCCAATCACTAAATAGAATCTTTTGGGAATCATGTTTTCATGTAAATTCTCTAAAATCATATAAATCATTGCTCATTTTCTGATCCTTTGGTTTTGCAAAAGAATGGCAGCATTTGACCAACTGGGCTTAAAAGCTGAAAAAACTCTGACCTGCACTTCTGGTTTTGTGTGCTTGAAACTGAGTGAGGAATTTGATCTTCTCTTCTCTATTCTATATTTAATTTCCTGGAAAAGATCCCCAAGAAGCAAAATACCTCCAAAAGGCAAGGAGGAGGATTTCTGCCCCACCCTTATAATAAGTGAAGTGGTGAATTAAGCTTTTTATGGAGGATCAATATATATGGAAGTGAAACAAATATAAAACCTGAAATTTAAAACTCAAATCTGAATATATCTAAAATTGTTGAGACTCTCATTCTATAGATAATTGTTCATTTTGAAAATTGGAAAACAAATAGATGCTGACACCTAGTGGTGGATGAAGACTATGACAGTTATGACTTTAATATAAGACTTGGCAAAACCTGGGAAATGCTAATCTGTGTTTGTGACCTTCAAAGCTCTGACAAAAAAAGGGACAATAATCTGGGCTGTAGACAAAGAGAATTATAAATTTCAGAAAAAAAATTTTTTTTTTGTACTATTTGGATTACAAATATCTATTTAATCGGGACTCTAAAGCTATTTGCAGAGAAAATAAAAGAAGAGAAAAACTGAAATTCTTGGCCATCGTGGATCAGAGACATGTAAAAAGAACATATGAAGAAAACATAAATACTTCATAGGTTGAGATATATAGTATACTGCAACTAATTCAAACAACAATGATTTTAAACCACAAAGAAATCCAAAATAACTTTGAAAATATAAATCAATCTATTTCCAAGTTAACTCTACAAAAAAAAAAAAAAAATCCCAGAAAACAAAAGAGAAGGAGCAGATAAAATAGATAAATAGATACAAAATAGAGACTTAAAGATGGAACTTAACCAAACAAGGAAACATGATGTTAACCCAGTGGGGGAAAAAATCGCAAGAATTGGAAAAAACATCTTGTCCCTTAAGATTGCAAAATAAATCTGAGGACAAGAAAACAGATTGGATAAAATGGACTGTGGAGATGTCAGGAACATCAGAGAGTAAGGAAATGATCAGAGAAGTGGAAAGAAAAATAAACAGATTTTCAACAAACATGGAAAGGCAGAAGCCCTGTACAAAGGCACTTCATCTAATTTACTTTTTATATCTACACTATTTATGAACATATAGAAAAATCTTTTGATTCAGCAAGATACATTGATTAAGAAAGATACCGAGCAAAGGAAAAAGACCAAATCAAGAAAGTAGATGATGGGACCTACCAGAGAGAATACTTTAAAAAGAAATATTTGTTTGAATATGGTTAAAGAAATAGAAAAGATTTGGAATATATACTGTATGTCACTCTAAAAGGGATGAATCCCCTAAATAATATAATATGCTTTTCCCCCCTTTTTTTATTCTATTTCTTGATATGAGTAATATAAAAAAATTGAAATGGCTTAGATAAAGGAAATGTTTTAGATAATTATAATGGATAAAAGAGTTAAAGGACTAAATGACTAGATGTATTAAATGGAGATGTCATGGTTCCGACTAATGAAACACTTCAAAGACTTTCAGGCATGTTTATCTTAAAGCCTTTATTAACAGTGCTACAAATTGACGGCACATCATGGAGGTTTATGCCAGAATCTGAATTCCTCTTGCTGGCATCTAACTTTTCTTGCTAAATCCCTCTCTTATCTTGCAGTCACAAGTCACATCTTCCAATTATCCCAGAGGGCAGAGATTCACTTCTGTTCCTTTTCCCAGCTTTTGTTGTTATTCCCCTCCGTTTTCTCTGTCATCTGAATTAACCCTAAAAATACCAGATAGTTCTGCATATTTTGTCAAAGCAAGAATATTCAATATTAGCAGCGTTGACATCCGGCCCCCCTTACAAAAAGGACAGATCCTGTAATGTAAACAATATGTTAAGGGTTATTTTTTGGTTTGGTGAGGTGTTTCACATGAAACCTTCTGACCAATCTGTCAGCTTTCACTTCACTAGATTTCACCCAGGTGGCTTCAGACAACGGGTATCCCTTCCATTGTATTAGGTACTGCAATTTCCCTTTAAAAATTCTAGAGTCAAGAATATGTTTTACTTCATAGTGGGTCTGTCCCACAGGTGCCTTCTTCGGGGGAGGTCTTAAAGTGGAGCCCCATAAGGCTTCAACCAGCTACAATGGAAAACTGGGTGAATTTTCCCTAAAAGTCTAGGGAGTTTTAGTTCTACTGTGACTGAGTTGATGATCCTTACTATGGGAAAGGCCCCAAGAATTTTGGTCCCAATTTCTTGCTGGGCAATTTGAGGCATAGATATTTAGTTGACAAATAAACCTTTTCCCCAACTTGGAATGTTCTTTGGGGAGCCCTCTTTTTATCAGCCTGCTTTTTATAGGTTTCAAAAGTCTTTTTTAAAGCAGTTTTTGTTTTTCTCCAAACTTCTTCCCACCCCCTCACCCAATGGTCAAGTGTCTGGGAAGCAGAGGGCAACTGAGGATATTCAGGTATTGGGTTGAACTCTTTTCCTGTGGCCACTCTGAAAGGCATGTAGCCAGTGCTGCTGTTCACAGAATTATAGTATGCCACCTCCGCAAAAGGGAGGAGATCAGTCCAGTTCATCTGTTGGTAAGAAACGTAGCATCTAAGATATTGCTCCACCATTTTGTTAATGGCTTCTGCAGCCCCATTGGTGGCCGGATGAAAAGCAGATGATGAACCTTGAGATGATCCAATTAATGTAAGGAAACTTCTCCAAAACTTTGCTGTGAACTGCAACCCCCTGTCCAAAATTATTTGCTTAGGGGCGCCATGCAGCCGGTAGATACGTTTCAGGAACAATTTGGTCAGTCGTTGGGCAGATGGGAGTCCTTTGCAGGTGATGAAATGAGCCTGCTTTGACAACAGGTCTATTACAGTCCAGATGACAGTATTTCCATTACTTTCAGGTAGGTCTACTATAAAATTCATAGCTATTTCTTCCCATGGTTGAGAAGGGTCTGCGACAGGTTGCAGTAACCCAGGGGTTTTTCCTGGGATTCTTTTCATTGTGGCACATACAGTACAACTTTTTACATAGTTTTCCACATCCCTTTTCAGACCCGGCCACAAAAATTGCCGGTGGGTGAGGTGTAGGGTTTTCAAATATCCAAAGTGTCCAGCCTGTTTTACATCATGGCTGTGTTTGAGAGCATTAAGATGGAGGGCTTCTGGCAAATATAGTTTCTCCCCTTTGTAAGCCCAGCCATCCCGGCACGTTAGGGAGGTGTGATTATCTTTGAACCATTGGTTGGTGAGGAGCTCTCGTTTTATTTTCTTAACTCCAGGGTCATCAGGATTGGGGACCCTGCGAGGTGTAAGTTGAGTGGCAGTTTGTGGATTGGGTATAATTGCCTCGTTAACCTCCTCCTGTTCGCTTTTGTATTGGGGTAACCGGGATAGCGCATCAGCTAGGAAGTTCTTTCCTCCTGGAAGTTGAAGTGAAGTTGAAGTGGTTAAAGTATTGTGCCCACTGTACTTGCTTTGGGGACAATTTGCGGGGAATTTTCAGTGCTTCTAGATTTTTGTGATCTGTCCATACCTCAAATGGCACCTTGCTCCCTTCTAGATAGTGTCACAGTTTAATAACGCCCATCTAATCGCTAAGGCCTCTTTTTCCCAGATTGCCCATCTCCGCTTGCTCTCAGTAAATTTCTTAGAGGTGTAGGCGCAGGGTTTTGTTCTTTTGCAGTAACACAGATCCAACTGCCACATCGCTGACGTCGGCTTGAATCACAAAGGGTTCCCCTGGGCGGGGGTGCTTAGGACCGGTTCAGCAGCAAATAGTCTCTTTAAATTCTCAAAAGCTGTTTGACAGCCCATT